GCAATATAAAAAACTATTGCAACATAATATCATTTTTAAATTAACTATATTATAAGTTAAATTACATCAATCGTTCCTCGTACACATATCAGAAAGTATGTTTAGTCCTTATTTTCACAAATTAACTCGGATCGTCCCTCGTTTGGTTAAAACTTACATGTTTCATTCCTCATTAATTTAATTTTGCACGTTTCATCCCTTACAGTACCTGAAATGACCATTATGCCCTTTTGGTATTTATTTTCTAATTAATTTAATGTTCTTATTATTTTTAACTAAAAAAAAAAAGATAAATATTATGACCCACTTAATATCTTTATTTCCTTTCCAATTCATTTAATGTTCTTCAAGATCCCGATCACCATCTTCGTTCACAAACCCGATTACCGGCACCACCTCCAATTACCATCTCCATCTATAGACTTAGTGCCCGGCAGTTGCTCCGGTCACCATCTCCTTCCATAAACTCGAAGTTGCGACTCAAATACAAAACAAAAATCTAATCTACAACTCAAACCCAAAACCAAAATCAAATCTGAAATTCAAATGTAGATCCAAAATCAAACCTGCAAATTCAAACTCAAATCCAAAACCAAAATCCCTAATGCAAAAATCATCTGTTGTTATGTTTTGCTTATCTGAATCTTAAGTAATTTTGGAAAACGAAGAATTCAGAGATTGATGAATTTGTGTTGGGTGGTGAAGTTCCTGTTTGAAAACTGAGATTTTCAGATTTGTGGTGCAGAAGTTCCATTAGGGAGTGTAAACGACAGAATTCCACACGCAGTGATGTTGAAGTTCCACGCCTTTAATCAATCGCAGCCTTTCCGGCGAACAATTACTGGTGCATAAGTCCTGTCCTTTTGTGAATCCAGCGATGCCGACGGTCTGAAGTCAGAGATTTTCATATTTCGATCGCCATCATTATCAGCTTCTCTCGCCGGAAAAGTAGTGAGACACGGAGGAGAATTAGGGCCGGAGCAGAGAGAGAGTTACAGTAGTCCACCATTTTTGTTTTCCAAGAGTTGGGGACGAAAGCAAAAAGGGGAAATGGAAACAAGAGGGGTGATTTAGTGGGAGGTTTTTTATTTTTTTATTTCTCTTTAATTTAAAAATGATAAATAAGTAGAAGAAAATTAAAAAAGAAATTATTAAGGGTAAAATTGTCTTTTTATATGTGAAGGGATGAAGTGAGCAAGTTTTAAACAAACGAGGGACGGTCCGAGTTAATTTTTGAAAATAAGGACTAAACATGTTTTCTGGCACGTGGACGAAGGACGATTGATGTAATTTACCCTATATTATATTAATATTGTTCTTAAATACAATTTAATATTCAAAAAAGTCTTAATTCCAAATACAAAGAGTTTCATACGATATATAAAAAATATTTGACATGTAGTATAAATTACAAAGATTATCATAGAAAATTCAAATTTTCCATCATATAAATATAGAAAATCCGTAACACTCATCACATGGATCCAGTTTTTCCTAACATTATTGTGAATTAGAATATTAACATTTTATCTGAATATTAAATGGCTTTGACCTGAGCATCATCACTATAACCATGATCAATCTCCACAATGACAAATTCACAATAAACGACATATAGATAATCACCTTCCAACTACTTCATGACATGAATATGCTCTCATTACCTACAAAGATCAAAAAGTGCCACGAGTTGTATTTGTTGCACAAACAAAGGCATGACTTACAAACACACACACACACACACACACACATATATATATATATATATATATATATATATATATATATATATATATATATATATATGAAATTAACTAAAATAGAGAGAATCATTGTTGGTTGTGAAAACTTCTAGTTCATTCTCAATACACTAGAAAAACAAAAAACAACCTAAGTTTGTTTTCTACAATACCTAATTAACTACAAGCTCCTCATTACAAGCTTCCCATCATTTATGTAAGCTACTACTCCCCTTAGATGAACAAGATGGGTCAGATGCCTAAGTTAAAGAATCCTTAGGCTATTTAGAGTGTGTTGAATTCCCACGTGTTAGGTGACTTGGCAAGACCAAGTCACACGTAAGTTTGCTCCAAACACCACGTACAACCTCTTCTATTGTGATGGTTGATGACTCTTATGGATGCTCACAATCTCTCTCCTTTCTCCCTCTTTCTTTCTCACTCTACTTCTCCCTATATATCTCTTTCTTCCAAACTAACTTGCATCCAAACACTATTTCCTATATCTTGTAAGAAGTTAGTGGCTATATTTGTTAGCTGATATGGCACATCTTTATGTGTAAGAAGCTACACTCTTCTACCCTAAGGTGATGTAACTCCAACTTAACCTAGGGCTTGTTTGATATCCTCCTGACCGGTCCAGTCAGCACTTTGGCTAACTCAGTCCGGGTCAGCATGTTTGATAATTGGTATTTTTGTATGATCCTGTCCAAAACCACTGACCCACTTTTTGACTTGGTCCCATACAAAAAGGAAGTTGACTCGGTTATTTTGCTTGATTGCCCTCCATTTTCCCTTCTCCTAAAACACGATTGTTCTTCACACCTTTCTTCTTCGTCGCCAAATTGATGAACTATACAGCTATATCGCTTCTTCCTCAAACTCTGAACACCTCTTCTAATGCTCCAGCAACAGCTTCTTCTGTCTCTAACCCTCTCGCTGACCATCATCTTCGTTGCAGCAGGCAACCCCGTTGCTGGTACTCCACCATCGTTATGGTATGTTTTTGTACCGATCGCCTGTGGAACGCGACCCAAATCAAAAAAAGAACCAATTGCAAAATTGAATTGACCATACCTTAATTCGTGATTCTGATAGACAGGAACGAGTATTTGTAACATTGATTGTGGATCTGAGAACGCTGATTTTGGGTATGGGATCGACAACTAGCTAGTAAAATTGAAAAAAAAAAATCTTATCTTTTATGTAATTGATTGTGTATACCTCCATCATATAGGGCAGCAATCCACTAGTTTGACTAGTTCGTTATGGTTGATGGTGGGTTAGTAATAGAACGAAAATTTTTAGATGGTTAAAGAAGTTGCAGTGGAAATAGTTGAGGGATGGATAAAAGAGATTACAATATCTTATTTGTGTGTAAGATTAAGAGATGGGAATGAAGTTTAACTTATCTAGAATTAAGAAAAATAAGATTTGGTTACTGCCAAATGTTTTTCTTGTCTATAAGGTACATCGTAGACATTGGTTACAAAGGCAACTCCTTTGCCCATTACTGTGACAATCAGTTTGTCTTCAGAGCAACATGTAGTGGAGTACAAGATAGCAGAATTAGGGTATATGAAGGATTTATTTAGCTCCTAAGATTGAAGAAGATGATGAAGAGAATAAAGCTTGAATCAACAAGTGAGCTGTGAGAACTAAAATACTAAGGTGGTGTTTGTTTTTTGTCCGCAAATCTTCCTGACCTCTTCTTTCTGCACGGCGCGGACCACGCGCCTACATTAGTCTTCGCAGACTGTTTGTTTTTTTTGAAGACTGCAGACCTAAAAATATATGTGCGCCCTCTTCTTGGCGCAGATGTGGACCAGAGTCTTCTAACATCTTCAAACATCTTCTAGTCTAAAAAAATACATATACTTTATTTTTATTTGTTAGGTTTTTTGAATTTATATTTATTCCAACTTTATTAGTGATAAACACTTTGAAAAAAAAAGTTACAATACTTAAAAAAAAGTTTGACAACACAAACATGATATTTTTAACAAATTTATAAATAAAAGTCTATTACAATAATGATCGTTAAAATTATTTATATAAATATGAAATATATATATATATATATATATATATATATATATATATATATATATTATATATATATATATTCTTATATTTTTTGTGCCAAATTTTATAAAACATTATTTAATAAAACATCATCAATTTTTTAGAAAAAATATTTATGGCACGTTTTTAATTTATTTAATTGAAAAAATCGAAGTTTATTTTCATTCATATATATATCAAATTCTTTGATTCTTAATTACAATGTTTAAGCATAATTTTGCGACCAAAATTGTTGGTTTTTATCAAATATATACGTTAATTTGTACCATTTTTATTTTCACTTTTTATACAATAATACATAAAAGTTGATTTAGATTTGTTAATTATTTATAACAAAGTCATAAATATATTAAAAAACCATTTTGTAGTTTAAAAAATCAGTTTATTTAAATTTTAGTTTATTTTAGTTGACTGCCGATGTTGAAAAAACACACGATCTTTTTTTTTTCAAACTCCAGATGTTTGATCCACCTCTTCTGCTGCAGAGATTTACAGATGTGGTCCGCAGACTGCAGACATTTTAATTCAGAAAAAAACAAACAACACCTGAATGTGTTGGTAGTTGTTCGCTAGCAAAAACTATATTGTGTACTATGTACTCACCAGAATTTAGCCAAACTTTTCTTGATGGTACTTATTATTATTATTTTTTGTATAATTTTTGTAATTTCAAACTAATTTTTTATTCATTTGTTGGGGATTGAAGCATTTTAAATGAATTTGGTCAAGTGTTGGCATTTACTTCAATTTGGTGTAAAAATCACATGATTCTACGTCTCATTACTAACAATTTTTATTTTGATTTTTGTGTGATAGTTTGTAATTTTTGATAATTATTTTATCCGGCATAAAACACAACGGGTAATATATTCATTTTTTATCATTCATCATAGTTAGTCAGAGATATAATCAAACAACATTATTTCAGTCAGATGTAGATTCAGTCAGAAACTTTAACCCAATCAGCAACTATCAAACTACTATCTAATCTTATATGCATACTACTACTAACTTCAATACAAAATAAAATACATCTAACTGTAGAAAAGTTTATATAAATAAATATGAACATAAATTCATTAAATTAAATAGGACTTTTATGTTTAATGAAAAGCTTTCGACTTAAAAATCTTAAACATCTATATATATAGGTCAAACGACAACCTAATGCTAAAAGTATAATCAGATAAGTAGTTAAGTACTGATGTGCGATGGCTTCTCTTTGATACTAAAAATGCCACGTATATATCGAGTTACGAGGCAAAAATTTTGACATTTTTAACTCCTATTTTTGTAAATGCCCGAACAAGTTTCCTCATGTACCTATCAACATTCTTCCCCAAACCATTTGCACCTTTCTCACCCGTGTTAACACAACATCCTACTTCTGCACCTTTAATATAACCTTTACAAAGTGTCAAAATAGTAACTGCATGGTCATGAAATTGCCCAATCACCAAATCTTCAAAATGCTGCATCCATAAAAACATTAAAACATCAAAACATTCCTGCATAAGACAAATACTTATAATTTTGGTGCCACTAACATCCTGTCTTGTTAGTGGGGTCCTCGGTGGCAGAGATAATAATAATAATAATAATAATAATAATAATAATAATAATAATAATAATAAAAATGTCGAAGAGAGTAAGAAAGGACTAATTAATGTAAATGAGACAACTTTTTCCTATATACAAATATGGAATAGGGTGACAAAACTCAACCTCACCGATGACAAAAGTATATTTTTTATGGGTAAATAAAACTACTCTTACCACTTTATTAATAAGCAACAAACTTCTTTTATCTATTCAATATAACAAACATACGGCTTTTTTTTTTATGTAAATTAAGAGTTTCCTGACCCTCGTATATATGCATACACTACTAGAAACAGGGGTTTTAGAGACGGACGAATCCGTCGCTATTCCATCGCTAAATGTTATTTGCGATGGATCAGCGACAGATTCACTCCATAGGTAATTAAAATGTGGCTAATGACTTAGCGAGGGTTTTAGCAACGGATTAGTTTTTCCTTGCGACAAATTTAGCAACAAAGTATCCGTCGCTAAATGTTACTCAATACATTTACCCAGGATGTTAGCGACAAAATTTGTTAAAGACATTCTGTCGCTGTACTGTCGCAAATTTCCATGATCATTTTTTTTCCGTAGCTAATCCCTTGCAAAGTTCATATACTAAATTTTTTTTGTCCATCGCTGATCTGTCGCAACCTTTAGACATGATTTTTCCTCATAGCTAATCCCTCGAAAAATTCTTAAATTAATTTTGTTCTTTTTCCGTCGTTGATCCGTCACAAACTTTAGACATGATTTTTTTCTGTAGCTAATCCCTCACTAAATTCATGCATTATTATTATTTTTTTTGTCTAATCCGTCGCGAACTTGTAATATCATTTTTTATTATGATTCTAAAAGGAAAAAAAATACTACAATCATCAAATTATTATACTAAAAAACATCAAATAATGATACAACCAAAAACAGCACAGAGAGTAGTAACAGATCCGATTGTTATAACATATATGAAATCATGATGATCGTTTTAGATGTAAATAAACATGAAATTACAATTATGCCCTTCAGAAAGAAATGTTGTATGCTTACATTGCTCCATTCATTCCATAACTAGCAAAAGCAGAGGCGATAGGGGTATCAGGGTCTAATTAGGAACATGGCACCAAACTAATCACAACAGCAGATACATCTCTCTGAGGATTCTTCACCTGTAATATAAACAATATGAAAATTACAATTATACCCTTTAGAAAGAACAATCACAATCACTAGTGTTACCTCTTCGGCTGTGCTGGTTACTGCATCAAAACCATCATATGAGAAAAAACGGGAAATACCTGAAAATCAGAAACAAGTTTCATGTTGCCAAGGGTAAAATGGTAATTTAACACATGTGAAAAAAAATGAACATATTACCCGCCTGGAACTTTATATCCACCCATCGAGTCTTGAAACCTATGTGTCCACCAACTACTATGATGAAAAGCAAGGCTACAACGTTTATTATTGTGATTATGCCTTGAGCCAATGAACTCTAAAAGTATTCATTTTATTAGTATAATAAAATTTAAGAATAAGTCATTAACTGAAAGGACTAAAATACCTCTTTGATTCCAGTGCAAAGTAGTACAGTTATAATGAAGACTAAAACAGCAGCACAAGGATCAACTATAATTCCAAGAATGGTGGGTCGAGTTAAGAAAGCAGAAAGCTTATCTGGACCTCCAAAAAACACAGCCTGTTTAAAACTGAAATTATAATTCGAAAAAGAAAAAGAAAAAGAAAATTGAAATTATAAATTAGGTTGAAAGAAAAAGGAGGTGAAGTGCACCATATTTGTGGATATGCCACGGGCTACAGTTGCTCCACCAAGTGTGTATTCAAGAATCAGGGACCAACCAATCAACCAAGCAACACTGGAAGTTGAAGGGGATAGAATATTGATTTGCAGAAAGAAAATATGAATATATGAATAAGAGAATTCTTATGAGAAATTACGAGATTACCCTTCTCCAACATATAAGTAAGAATAGTGATATGCACTCCCTGCAGATGGGCAACGACATGCGAGTTATGCATAACATAATGCTGAAAGTCCAGCTGCTATTCCGGCTATCAGGAATGATATTGTGATTGCAAGCCCTCTTTTCTCTTTAGCAACTGTTCCAACAAGAATGTAAACTCCAGCTCCAATTGTTTCTCCAAATCCTGATAAAATTGGTTTGACTTTTAGGTTAATTGATACCAATACATCCCAACATCATACATACATACATACATATATAACAAATTCATTGCATAACGACACTAAGAGAAACAACGTGTATTAATCAACAAAACATATATATATATATATATATATATATATATATATATATATGTATGTATCGATTTTACTTAATGTAAATCCGAGAAGTGATCAATAATAGATAGACGATGAAAGGTGAAAAGTGATGATACGTAAGTTGATTGAAAGTTTACCAATGGCGATGAGATCAAAAAACAGAGAGACATTTGGCCAACTGAAAACCCTCAGCTCTAGCGACACTTGCATCAACCAAGGGAATAAAAACTAATTCTATTTGTCTTTCTAAAATCATTAACGGAGGTTATTATCATGTTTCCTATAGAATCATTAGAGCATGTTTATCATAATCGTTCAATGGTTACATTACATTGATCAAAAGATGCATTGGCCAAAAAAGAAGAGGAAATAATACAAAATTACATACCTGCCTTGGAGAACTACTCAAGGGATGTCGTACTTATATATTGACACATTGATCTGTCAAGAAATGAATAATGATTAAAAAAATTAATAAAAGGAAACAACTACAAAATATATTTCACATGGAGATATGGAGATATTTTATAACACTAAATATATTTCCATGTAAAGTGTTACTTTTGCTTTAATTTTACTTTTAAATTGTGATCAAGAGAAAACATTTTTCGCAGATATCAACTACTTAATTTCACTCTAGAACACAGACTATAATTTTCAACTTGCTACAAAAATAGAGCTTCATCACTTGCTAAAACCCATTTTATATGCAATCATAATCATGGTTTTATGCTTTTTTGTATGTTATTTGAATTTAGATATAAGATGGTGTTTACGTAAGTCGCACATTGACACCATTGTATGTCTCATAAGGCTTTTCAACTGAAGAAAATTCAAAAGGAAATGTTTTCCTTTCATATATTTCACCAGGAACATCCAATTCACGAACTACATAAGAAAGGGTAACATTGTAAATTACTGATGAATAATGATGTTGAATTATCAATTATCAAGGAAAAAACAACATAAAAGTTGTCATTTCATCAATAACATGTAAAAGTTAGCCTCCAAACAGATGGACTTACCAACAGAGGTAAAGTCATAGAAGTTGCCTCTGTCAAAATAAATTTATACAAACAGAAATAAAATACTAAAGTATTATTAATATTGATTTGCATGACAATTTCTCCTATAAATAAGTAGAAAACTCACCAATTTGAAAAAGGAGTTCTATTTTAATGCCATTATGTTCGACCTTCTTCCCTTGCATTGGGTCTACAGATATCTGCAAAAAGGGTAAATAAGTAAATTCAACTTGTTTCGATCAGTAGCTAGCAAGTAAGAGGTTTATTATCCAACAAAATTACAAAACCATCAATAAATACCACTCCAGCAATGCATTCTTGACTTTGGAAAAGAGGCACCATTGATATCTGACCATTTTCCTTCTTCAAAGGAACCTGATGATGAATTAGTAAAGAAGAATTATTATAGCAGGCCAAAGTATTGATATACTAAACAATAATCATCTATCTAGAATGAGAACAATAAGAATAGCTTACTTGTTTGTGAGTTTTCACATCATTAAATGTAACTGAAATATTACTAGAAGGCTTGAAAGCTCCTATATTAGTAAGTGGAGTGAAGTAAATTGCTATTTCCTGCAATGTTCTTGTAATATGAATTAACCTTACCAAGTATCCCCTGAAAGCTGCTTGTGCCTTAGTAGCAGCCTATTCTAGCCTGATTAAATCATCATCATTTGCAACATTTAGTAAGTTGGCACTGGAGCTCTTCTCTAAGTGTGATTGTTCTCCATTTATGTTGTTGATGTGGCACACTGGTGTTGACATAACAATAGAATCAACAGCAAGATCATTTGATTGTGTGTTGAGGGTAATGGAGGTCTTTTTGTCTAAACTAGCATCCTTCAAGAATAATAAGATACCATCATGTATATGTGTTTTACTAGTAACAGGTGTAACTGTAAACTGTAAATTAACACTTTAACTTACTTTTGAGATATTAGATTTTGATGACTCTTCCCAAAAAGAAAAGTCTTCATCCACTTTCCAGGAGATTAGATTCCTTGAGTAATTCACGAGATTCATTGAATAATTTTCAACACATTGCTACTTGTTTTCAATTAGGTACATGCTATTAACTTCATCAATTGTCAAGATCATCAATTCAAAGCTAATCCTATCAATCTAACACAACACAATACAATGACCTAAACTTATGCATATCATCCACAAAGTTCAAAATTACCTCAAGGTTAATCAAATTTCTATAAACAAGAGCTTGAATGGGATGACCACCACTGTGATCCAGCTACCGCCAACAGAACCACCACCGCTATCTTATCGGGTGATCGATGTCGTTGTTGCCGCTAAGCAGTTGTACGGTCTGGAGTAGTTGTGGATCAACAGATCGAAAGGCATTGGCATGGAAGTAAGCTGTGAGTCAACGAGGAAGGGAGTCAAACCCAGAAGAAAGCCAACGAGGATGTGATTTCAGATCAGGTTTTCCTTTGAGAGGCTTCAAAGAGGGATGATACAGGTTGACTGTGGTGGAGGCGATTTCCTGGACAGAGTAGAGATTTGACGGTCATATAGGGATTTGGTAGAGATTTGGGAATAAATCGGTGGGAATGAAAATAAAACGATGGAACGAGTAAAGGAAGAAAAGACAGGAATGAAAAAAGGAAGGCGTAGATTTTCTGCAAGGGTTTAGCGAGGGCCAGGAAAAAAAAGCCACTAATTTTTTGCAATCCGTCGTTATTCCCTAGAGGTTTTACTTTTCGACGGTTCAGCGAGGGACTGTTTTTTGTCGATAAAATCAAACCAATCTGTCGTTGATCCCTTGGTAATACATCTCTAAACTTCTATAATTATTTGGATTGAAATATTTATGCATTCCATCAGTGATTCCTCAGTAAACCGTCGCTAATTAGCTACAGATAAAATCTGTCCCTGATTCCGTCATTGTAGGTTAGGTATCTAGTAGTGATATTACCATTTAATAGCATCAAATAACTAGGTAACATAAAAAAAAACATACCTTGGGTGGATTCTTCATGGTGCAAACCATAGTTTTGAAAGAATAAATCAAAGTCGTTTCATTGTATATCTTCGATTGATACTCCCCATTTGCAGAACCTCTCGAATGTGCGAATCCAGGTTCATTAAAATAGGGTTTTGCATTCAAAACCAAACCCTGTATAGACACCAAAACTTGTATCGAAACCCCAGGCCTCCACTTTTCATTCTTGCCACCACTCCAAGTGTTTAAAAGGCTCAAACAAACTCTCCCATTTTCATAAAGATTCGGATTAATTCTCAGGCCACCAGAATGATAATGCACGTTGTTAGGTTAATTCTAGTTTACAGCCGTTGTAGGCTCATTTGAATAAAAGCTGATATGGTCCTCTAAAGACCATGTCTTGAGGAGAATAAAGTGGCACATGGCCACAACCTGTTGAAGCATCTGTTGATGCAAGTTTCTCGGTAGATTTGTTAGTAGCTCGAAGTATTTAATCCCCCTTCCTGTAATCAGTTTACCATCACGAAATATAGAACTAGTTTGTGTTCTAAAACTCTCTCTTTCTCATTTATTATTTACAGTGTGAGTGTGTGTTTTATTGTGAATCCTTAAGATCCTCAAGGTTCTACTCCAACAGTTGGTATCAGAGCTTTTGGGTTCATAATAAGAGCTTGGTGTGAGCTTTACCAATGGCACTCATACAACCAAAAGAGAACGGGAATGGAGGTGTACCACTCCACTACCCGATGTTGTCAACCACGAACTACACAACGTGGGCAATAAAGATGGAGGCGATAATGGATGCCCAGGGAGCTAAGCTATCAATTGCGCGCTATAGCAGTGCTATAGCGGCGCTATAGCGTTTTGCGGAGGTCAGGAACCGTTATTTTCAACTTAGCGTTTTCATTTCGTGGTACCGCTATTAGCGGCGCTATTCACCGCTATTTCAATAACCGCTATAGCGGCGCTATGGGCGCTATTCCATTTTCGTTCACATTTAGGGTCATTTTGTTACTTTGTCAATGAAAAACTAGTTTTAAAGATCTCACTACACTTTCATTTTAAAATGCCCAAACAACTAACATAATTAAAAGCATTCAAAGCAACTACGTCTATCGACAACTCTCTTTCTCATCTTTTTCTGTACTCACGACAACTTCAGCTGCTATGGTCGGACTCCATTAATGTTTTTTGTAAATCGAACCACACTTATGAGGCAATGACTTGGTACTTAACTCTTTATATCAACCATAACCTACTAATCCGATATTGAACATGGGCAATACAATTAATCTCTATTTGACACTTTGAGACTAGGTAGTTTCCCTATTACCATAATAGAATATTATGTTATGTGTTTATATGAGTTTTTAGGTTTATGATATTAATTCTATATATACTTATAGTATTAATACTCAAATATATATAACTTCTATATAAATATAATATAAAATTATAAATTATACGTAATATTAAAAAAACGCTATATCACCGTTATACCACCGCGATAACCGCGATCTCAAATAGCGGCATGTGACCGCTATTGAAATTTTGACCGCGATAACTGCATAGCCAGGGAGTATGGGAATCCATCGAGCATCGAGTTGGCGTGGCTGTTGATGAAAAGAAAAGTAAGAAGGCTCAAGCATTCATATTCCAAGCGTTACCTGATGATGTGATTCTTCAAGTTGCACAGAAGAAGACGGCAAAAGAAGTATGGGATTCGTTGAAAACTCGCTACTTGGGTGTTGATCGGGTTCAGAAGGCGAGAAAGCATGCACTCAAGAGTGAGTTTGACTCTTTAATAATGAAGGAAGGAGAAACGATCAATGAATTTGCAGGGAAAATAAGTGGTATAAGCTCCAGTTATGTAAGCCTTGGTGAGAGCCTAGCCAATGGAGTGTTGGTTAGAAAACTACTTGATTCTGTCCCAGAAAAATACCTGCAACTCGTTGCCTCCGTTGAGCAATATGCTGATGTAGACGACATGTCGTTCGAAGAGGCCATTGGAAGACTCAAAGCTTATGAATCCCGCTTGAAGCATCAATCTGATAATGCAACCACAGAAGCAAGTCTGATGCTGACCCGACCAGAGGGACACAACGGTCAGAAAACTCCCAAAAAGAACTCAGGAGGAAGAGGTTGAGGCTCGTCTCAAAATGATCGAAGGGGTAGAAATGGAGGTCGAGGAAGAGGTAGTTGGCGAGGCAGAGGTGGTCGGGGTGGCAACCCGTCAAGAGATAACAACCAAGACCGTTGGAAGAATCGAGACAAGAAACACATCAAGTGTTTCAACTGTGATGATTTTGGTTATTTTGCATCAGAATGCCCGAAACTAGGGATGAACAAATGGACCGGGGAACCGGTACCGGAACCGGAACCGGCACCAGAACCGGAACCCGATGGAACCGGTCGGGCCGGGACCGGGATGTTATTTTTGTAGATTTTTGGAACCGGGAACCGATAGGAACCGGAACCGATATAACCGGAACCGGTAGAACCGGCAAAAACCGGAACCGTACGATGCTATTTTTCAAGGACCGGTTCCAACATTTGAAGACACGACAAGAACCGGTAGGAACCGGGAACCGGTAGAACCGGACCGATAGAACCGCCGGGCTGGTTCGGTTCTTGATTTTGGCCAAAGCCGGTTCCCGGTTCCGGTCCGGTTCGGGCCGGTTCTGGCCGGTTCAGTCCTTTTGCTCATCCCTACCCGAAACCAAAACGTACAGAAGGGAATGTAAATCTCACTCAAGCACAAGAAGATGAGACAACCCTGTTACTGACCGTGTATGGAGAAAGAGAAGAAGAAGTGGTACTTTTAAACGAAGATAAAGTATTTCCGGGCAACCACGGAAACGAGAGAGATACATGGTACCTAGACAATGGTGCCAGCAACCATATGACAGGAGAACTAAGCTACTTTACGGAACTAGACGAAAACATTATGGGTCAAGTACGGTTTAGAGATGGATCCAAAGTCCAGATAAAAGGAAAAGGGACGATGTTACTCGATTGCAAGAACAAAGAACAATTGATCATTGCAGATGTTTACTACATTCCATCTCTCCGTAGTAACATCCTTAGCTTGGGCCAGATGACAGAAGAAGGATATCACATCCAAATGAAAGAAAATTTTCTGAAGGTGCATGACAAATATGAGAGACTTGTGATGAAGGTACAACGTTCATACAATCGCTTGTACAAGATCGTGTTGCACACAACCCAACCCGTTTGCCTTCATGCTAAACTAGACGATAATGCTTGGCTTTGGCATGCACGCCTAGCGCATGTCAACTTCCGTCTACTAGAATCCATGGTAGAAAAAGAAATGGTACGTGGAGTCCCAAAAATAAAGCACCCAACACAAGTTTGTGAAGGGTGCCTTGTAGGCAAGCAAACCCGACAGTCATTCCCACAAGAATCCCAATGGCAAGCAAGCACTCCATTAGAGCTTGTGCATGCTGATCTCTGTGGCCCAATATCACCACAGACGATAGCAGATAACAAATACTTTCTACTTCTAGTAGATGATTACAGTAGGTATATGTGGGTATTTATGTTAAGACAAAAGGATGAAGCATTTGAAGCCTTCAAGAACTTCAAGGTTCAAGTGGAAAATGAAACCCGGTACAAGCTGAAGGGTCTACGTACAAATCGTGGTGGTGAATTCGTGTCAAAGGAATTCATGGAATATTGCAACAAGAAAGATATAAGGCGACAATTCCCCTCAGCAAAACGGAGTAGTGGAGCGGCGTAATCGAACCATTCTTGGAGCCACAAGGTCGTTGTTAAAGGCAATGGAGGTACCGGAAATGTTTTGGGGAGAGGCAGTGCGCCATTCTGTTCAGATTTTGAACCGGGTTCCAACGAAAGGGGTGAAGAATAAAACTCCATATGAGGCTCTGCATGGGAAGAAACCAACGTTGGATCACTTTAGGGTTTTGGGTGTGTGGCCCACACAAAAATACCAGCAAATAAACTCTCCAAGTTAAGTGATCGTAGCATTGCTCTCGTGTATCTCGGCAATGAACCTGGGAGTAAGGCCTTTAGACTATACAATCCAAGTGAAAAAAGAAAATATGTAGCTAGAGATGTCGTTTTTTATGAAGCCACGAAGTGGAAATAGGCTGGGAATCAAGGGGAAACATGTGTGTTTGGTCAAGATTGGGTCAGGTTTCCGAATGAAATCCCATATGTTGAAGACAGAGAGAACCATGTGCAAGCCCAGGATGCAGAAGCCCAAGATGGAGATGGAAGCCCTAGTCCTCATTATGACTCGTTGAACTCAACACCACCACAGACACCCATTTCTCAAGATAACTATGCTTCAAATACACCAACGCCCCAGGGATCTAATACAACATCCATGTCATCTGATCCAAGACCAAGCAGATCGACGTATGATGATACACCAGTTAGGGGTTTTCGAAAACTGAGTGATGTGATTAATCGATGTACTCAGTTAGAAGATGAAGATGAAGAACTTATGTTTTAGTATGATCTCAGGTAACCTGAGAACCCAACCTGTTATTCGAGTCACAGGGTACTCCTAATACCTCTCGGCCTTTATTAATTTCATAAAAATCAACAAGATCCCAAGGAACAATATTTATAATGTCCAGCTAAACAAACAAACCTAATCTGACTCCAAAACTAATAACAGATATTGACACCACCTAAGAAAGATAAAGACTAGATAAAGATTAAGATAAAAAGATAAAGACTAAACATAAATAACCAAAATTATCCTAAACTGAGATATTCTTGCCATGCCTTTGATAAACCTGACCAAATCTTGACCCTCCAGTCTGGGACGTATCATTACTCCCCTCCCAAACAGACACCTTGTCCTCAAGGTGGAAATCAGGAAACTGATGCATCATATCATCAAACAGTTCCCACGTCGCCTCATAAGTCGGTAAATCCTTCCACCGTATTAAAACCTCTCAGCCTGAAACCCCATCACGAAGGCCTTCCACCTACTCTGGTTGCAACAAAACTTCCATATCAGCAGTCAAGGTAGCAGGCAACTGAGGAAGAACCATCTGATTCCCGATAGCTTTCTTCAATTGAGAAATGTGGAAAACATCATGAATTTTTGAGGAATCAGGAAGTAGCAAACGATAAGCCACATGACCCACCCTTTCCAACACCTCAAAAGGACCAAAGTAACGGGGAGACAACTTTTCGTTCACCCTTCGCGCCACTAAATGCTGCCTATACGGCTGGAGCTTGAGAAAAACTCGATCTCCAACAGCAAACTCTTCATCCTTATGATGTTTGTCCGCCTTAGCCTTCATCGGTTGTTGAGCACGTAACAAAAACCCCTTCAACTCTTTCAGTACGACATCCCGCTCTTCCAAATACGCCTCCACAGAACCCACAGAAGTACGCTGACTGCCATAATAAACCAAATGGGGAGGATCCCGACCATAGAGAATCCGAAAAGGAGTGGTGTTAGTGGAAGTGTGAAAAGAGGAATTGTACCAGAACTCCGCCCAAGACAGCCACCTTGCCCATTTTTTAGGCGAATCTGACACAAAACAATGAGGATAGGTTTCTAAACACCTATTCACCACCTCAGTTTGGCCATCCGTTTGCGGGTGGTAAGCCGTGCTTCACTTAAGTTTGGTGCCCTGAAACCGAAAAAGCTCCCTCCAAAACAAGCATAAGAAAACTCTATCTCGATCCGAAACAATGGAGTCCGGAATACCATGCAACCGGACCACCTCCCTTAAAAATGCCGACGCAACTGTAAGAGCAGTATACGGATGTTTCAGAGGAAAAAAATAGGCATATTTACTCAGCCTATCAATGATCACAAATATAACAGAAAACCCATCCGACTTAGGTAAGCCATCAATAAAATCCATGGTAACTTCAGACCAAACTTTATTAGGTAATTCAAGGGGCTGCAACAACCCACTAGGTGCCAAGGTAGAGTATTTCTGCCGTTGGCAGACATCACACTCTGCCACCATGCGCGATATATCACCCTTCATCCCTGTCCAAAACAGCTCCCGGGCCATCCGACGATAAGTTTTTTGAACTCCCGAGTGACCCCCCATTGAACTCCCATGAAACTCATGAAATAACCATGGAATCCAAGAAGAATTACGATTTAACACGAAACGACCCTTAAACAACAATCGTTTGCTGTCTACCGAAAACCCAATCGGAACCTGTTGACCAGAAATGACGCGTTCCCTGAGATCGACCAATTCAGGGTCATTTTCAACCTCTCGCCACAACCTATCCCAATCAATTGAGCAACCAGATACCAACTCTAACAATTCAGCCCCATTTTTCCTTGACAAAGCATCAGCTGCGTTGTTCTCGCGCCCCGGGCGGTACTCAATGTCAAAACTGTACCCCAAGAGTTTAGAAAGCCACTTTTGATGGTCTTCAGCCACGAACCGTTGTTCCAAAAAATATTTTAAACTCCGTTGATCCGTACGAACCACGAACCTCCACCCCAGCAAGTAAGGTCGCCACTTTTGGATAGCAAAAACAATTGCCATTAATTCGCGCTCATAAACAGATTTTAGACGAGCTCGAGCACCCAAAACTTGACTAAAATAAGCAATTGGGAAAGAATCCTGCAATAATACCGCCCCCACGCCAACATCCGAAGCATCATTTTCCACCACAAAAGTTTTTGTAAAATCCGGTAAGGCCAAAACTGGACCACGGGTCATCACGGACTTTAACTGTTGAAAAGCTTGCAAAGCGTCTTCATTCCAACGAAAATTATCTTTCTTGAGCTGATCCGTGAGTGGTCCTGCAATCTTCCCATAGTCCTTGACAAACTTGTGGTAGTACCCTGTCAGCCCTAAAAACCCGCGTAATTCCCGGAGCGTTTTCGGTACCGACCATTCCAACATAGCCTCAATTTTCGAGGGATCAGCCGATACACCCTCAGCTGAAACCAAATGCCCTAAATACTCGATTTGATTCTGAGAAAACGAACATTTTTTTCCAGTTTGCAAAAAGTTTATGCTCTCGCAATGTTAGTAGTACCAAAGATAAATGATGCACATGCTCGTCCCGGGACCTGCTATAGACGAGGATATCATCGAAGAAAACGAGTACAAAGCGCCGCAAGAAGGGTCGGAATACCTGATTCATTAGTGACTGGAATGTGGCAGGGGCGTTGGTCAACCCGAAAGGCATAACGAGAAATTCATAGTGCCCCTCATGAGTCCTACTAGGACATTTGTGTCCCGGTGAAAATTTTCCATCGCACCTAAAACATAAACCCCTTGCGCGTTTTTCAACGAACATCTTCTTTCAAACCTTTAATAAATGTGCTCTCCTTGATCGATTCTGAAACGTCGTGTAGTTGCCCTGCAAACCCTTCAAATCTATCCACGTATTCCCGTATCGTCCTCGTTTGTTGGATGGCCAAGAACTGTTCCTGAACACTGCCCTCACACGACCCTTGAAATCTTTCAAGAAGCTTTCGTTTAAACATTCCCCAAGAACGGAATGGTTTCTTGGCATCATTCCAGCGAAACCATGACAACGGTGCACCCTCAAGGCAGATTTCCACTGCCCGCAATCGATCTTTCTTTCCCAATTTATGAACTTCAAAGTATCGTTCAACCTTGTAAATCCAGCCGTAAACATCAGCGCCATCAAAAACAGGAATCTTCAATTTCCGGCAATCAAGCAATGGATCCCGCTTTTTCTTCTTTTTCTTTGTCTCAGCGCTATCATTCGAGTTGTCAGACCCCTCGTCATCTTCATTGTCACTCCCCTAAGACTTCTTGTGTTTCTTTTTTGGTCCCTTGATTGCTTCAGTCAACTCAGAAACGGCTTTGGTGAGCACCTGCATCTGCGTTGCCACCTCCAAGCGATGAGCCTCAGATGCATCGAGCACCTGGTTAACGGCCCCCTCAAGCGCAGCAAGCCTTTCGGCATTGGTTCCCTTTCCCTCCAGTTTTTCTATCATCAGAACCGATAACAGCTCTGATACTAATTAGTATGATCCCAGGTAACCTGAGAACCCAACCTGTTATTCGAGTCACAGGGTACTCCTAATACCTCTCGGCCTTTATTAATTTCATAAAAATCAACAAGATCCCAAGGAACAATATTTATAATGTCCAGCTAAACAAACAAACCTAATCTGACTCCAAAACTAATAACAGATATCGACACCACCTAAGAAAGATAAAGACTAGATAAAGACTAAGATAAAAAGATAAAGACTAAACATAAATAACCAAAATTATCCTAAACTGAGATATTCTTGCCACGCCTTTGATAAACCTGACCAAATCTTGACCCTCCAGTCTGGGACGTATCATGTTTGCAGGAGAAGAACCCACCACGTACCTGGAAGCCGCAAACGATCCGGTTTGGAGAGAACCCATGAAGAAAGAGATTGATTCCATCATTAAAAACGATACATGGGAATTGACGAGTCTTCCTAAAGGTCATAAACCCATTGGATTGAAATGGGTTTACAAAGTAAAGAAAGATGCAGAAGGAAAGCTTGTCAAACACAAAGCCAGGGTGGTTGCGAAAGGTTATGTGCGGAAGAAAGGTGTTCACTTTGAAGAGGCTTTCGCACCGGTGGCTAGATTAGAAACGGTGAGGGTAATCTTAGCATTGGCGGCAACTGAAGGCTGGAAGGTTCATCATTTAGATGTAAAGTCGGCCTTCCTTAATGGTGCATTGCATGAAGAGGTGTACGTGACTCAACCAGATGGGTTTGTCATAAAAGGGAAGGAACACATGGTGTATAGACTGAAAAAGGCTCTTTACGGGCTTCGTCAAGCCCCAAGAGCATGGAATGAAAGACTGGATAAAGTTTTGAAGGATATGGGTTTTACTCATTGCCCTCAGGAGTATGGCGTGTACAAGGTTCAGAGGGCAAGAACAAATCTGTTGGTGGGTGTGTACGTGGATGACTTGATAGTAACCAGATCAAGTAATGAGTTAATTGATACCTTCAAGAAACAGATGAAGAAAGTGTTTGACATGAATGATCTGGGTTTGTTGACCTACTATCTAGGGATCGAAGTAACACAAAAGGAAGGAAGTATCATTGTAAGTCAAGCTGGGTATGCTGAAAAGGTGTTACAAATTGCAGGGATGGGGGATTGTAATCCCACTAAATATCCCATGGAACCTAGATCAAGCCTGAAGAAAAATGAAGAAGGTGAACCTGTAAATGCCACAGATTATAGAAGACTCATTGGAAGTTTAAGGTATTTAACTCACACTAGACCTGATCTTAGCTACTCTATGGGTGTCATGAGTAGATACATGGAAGCTCCAAAACTGTGTCACCTTAATGCCTTGAAGAAAATATTAAGGTATGTTAAAGGTACAAAGGATCTTGGACTTGTATACAAGATAGGTGGAGATAAGAAAGTAGTGGGTTTCAGTGACAATAGCTATGGAACGGATTTGGATGATAGGAAGGGTACAACAGGAACTATTTTTTTCTTCTCTGGAAAAGTTGTCACCTGGTCCTCACAAAAACAACAAACAGTGGCATTGTCTTCATGCGAAGCTGAGTTCATGGCAGCAACTGAAGCTGCATGTCAAGCACTGTGGTTAAGAAGTTTGATAAAGGAGCTGACAGGGTGGAAAGAAGAAGCAATCAAACTCTTTGTAGATAACAAGTCAGCTATAGCTTTAATGGAGAACCCTGTTTTCCATGGAAGAAGCAAGCATATCGACACCAAGTTCCACTTCATACGGGGATGTGTTGAAAGAAAGGAGATACAAGTGAAGCATGTAAGTGGAGAAGAACAAAGGGCAGATCCTCTAACAAAAGCTTTACCACGTGTGAAATTTACAGAGATGAGGAACTTGATTGGAGTTGAAAGCATTACAGCTCAAACTCATAATTAAGGGGGAAATGTGTTAGGTTAATTCTAGTTTATAGCCGTTGTAGGCTCATTTGAATAAAAGATGATACGGTCCTCTAAAGACCATGTCTTGAGGAGAATAAAGTGGCACGTGGCCACAACCTGTTGAAGCATCTGTTGATGCAAGTTTCTCGGTAGATTTGTTAGTAGCTCGAAGTATTTAATCCCCCTTCCTGTAATCAGTTTACCATCACGAAATATAGAACTAGTTTGTGTTCTAAAACTCTCTCTTTCTCATTTATTATTTACAGTGTGAGTGTGTGTTTTATTGTGAATCCTTAAGATCCTTAAGGTTCTACTCCAACACACGTTCTGAATATAATCCTTTATTATTCACTAAAATAATTATAATCGTATAATAAAGTATTGGAAAATTAATGGAAGATGTGTGACATACTGGGGGACATTTGGATAGTCGTTAGGAAAGTAGACATCAAAGAAAAAAATACCATCATGATATGGTGTCCCTTCTGCTCCTTTTATCACTGCTCTTAAAAGATCCATACTTGATTCATAAACCCTAACAAATATCGTATCTGTAAACAAATAACAAGAATTTAATTCAACCCAAATATCGAAATCTTGTGATGACAATAAGTTGTGAAAATTAGCAAAACATATACCAGGCAACTCCATAAGAACCCTCCATTCTTCTTGTATCTTTTTAGCCCAGTTTCTAGGTGTCTTAAAAAATCAAATAACAAGTGAATGAGTAATAACCACTGTTAAGAGTTCTTTTTTGCATTAAGTCTTTACTCTCCTTGTGAAGTTCTATTGTGAAAGAAAATCTTACTAAACAAGATAATGAAATCTACACATACTTGCCATTTTTCCGAATTTGATCCTTTATAGTAATGATCCGAATAGTCCTCAACAATATCAAACTTCTTAAACTTCCGATACTTCCTCAAAACTTCTTCATTGTTTCCATGTTGTTTAACGTTAGAGGAAGTTCCCACTACATTTGAGCTTTTTTGGATCTTTCTAGAATCTTGATTTAATGTAACATCTTCTATGCGAGTGATTTTTCCTGAACTGGGGGACGTTTTTTTTAGGTGGTGGGTTTTGACCAGTTTCTTGATAGATAGAAACTTGTTCGCTAACCATAGGCTAGAAAAAGTGGACTTACTTGAAGTTGAACCCTAACAAAAGAGAACGACATCATGCATTATTTACAAAGGAAAATAAATAACAAGAAACCAGCATTGATTTTATTGTTGCATTTTTTTGTTCATGCATCTTTTTCATGCCTTTTAACGACCGATTATCTACTTTGGATGCTGAAGAACTTTTGAAAAACACTCTTTTTCTAACAAAACCACATATATAAACACAACCTAGACAAACTAATGCCCACTTATATGATCTACTGAGAGAGAAATAGTTTGAGATCTGAGAGATGTATCTCTCTGCCACCGAGGACCACATTTATTGGCACTACTAAGAACAACAGAAGTTGGGAATTATGCAAGATTCAAATGAAAACTCCTTATTTATCCGATTCCCGCAATAAAATTGGATTTCCTTCTGTATCGTGAAACCTCGGTAATTCAGCGGCGATAGGGTTGTTAGATAGTTTGACAACCATGCAACCAAAACGGAAACGGTTAAAACGAACGAGAATATGAATAACAAAAGTCCCGATATTGTAGTGTGATATTAAAAGGATTCGAGTTTAAAATCCAATAAAATTTATGGTTTTATTATTTTTTTTTAAAGAAAATAAATGTACATAACTTGGTAGTATAACATGATTATAAATGGATACCATAGTATGCTTGATAGATTTTTGACAAAATTAAAAAATGGTTTTTCGTTTTAGTGCTTAAGGTCCAATTCTTATAATGGTGTAGACAGGCCGGTCCATTGTTTTACTATGCCCTGGGCAAAGATGTTTACTTATGCCCCTTTTTTACCAATTCTATATAAATTTTAAGTTTGTAAGAAACATTATTTGTGAATGTTTTGAGTCATAGTAATCTATAGATATGATTAATGGAAATTACATTTGGTATAGTTTAAGATTGATTTTATAGTTCTAAGCCTAAAACCATTCCCAACACTTCCCTGGATCTCCGTATGATGATTTTGATTCTTAATTTTCATAACAAATTACATGTATGAAGGATGAAAATCCTAACATGCCTATGTAATCAAAGTTTCACTCACAAAGGAAAGGAAATATAAAAACAAATTACATGTATTGAAGGATGAAAATCCTAACATACCTATGTAATCAAAGTTTCACTCACAAAGGAAAGGAAATATAAAAGAATCATGATCTATCACCCTAACATACTTTTGGAGGGGGCATTCCATTCAAAATTGTATTGACTTTAAACCAAATGGTCAAACCGGTTGTCTTGCAATTTTGTCATATTCACATACTCAAGTTTAGTAATTAAAGTACACAGGAAAAACGATTGAATATTTTATATTTTTTAAATATGCCATTGAAATAAAATCAATGAAAAAAAGTTGATGTTTAATTTTGACATTGAACATTAAGACCACAAAGGTAAGATATTTTGTAAAATCTATGATATGGCAAAGGTAGATAAGACCATTTTGTGTTTCCATCAACATAATTGTTACTTAAATATCAAAAAGGGAACATAGATGATAAACAATTTGAGAAAGATAAATTAGACATGAAACTCGTAACATTAAATCTCTATTCATTCGCTCAATGGCATGAAACAAACATTTACAAGAAATATGAATTACTTGAAAATAAGGAATGAAATGTTGGATACATAGTATCAGGCGAGGATATTTAAATTTTAATTTATACCGAAATGCTAAAAGAAAAACCCAACGAAAATAATTTTGGTTGCTTTGCATCCAATGAAATCTTCAATCGAGGTCAATCGGCATGAAGAATCATAGAAATATCTAGAACCAAAACATGAAGAATAAGAGAAAAAGTAAGCTAAAAGAATATATTTTTTGCTAACAGGTCGTCGTCTATGAGAGATCGACCGGGTGTGGTGGTGGTCGGATCTGGAAAAGAATTAGAGAAAAATCAAGGACAAAGGTTCTTCCTATACAACCAGATCTTATACCCCATTTCCATGTCTTACCGTCTCCTCGACTTCTGCCCCGTCTCTTCGTTTTCTGTTGTTAAGAGTATAGGCGTGAGATTTTTATCAGGTTAAAATGTTCAATTGCCGCCTTCACTTCACAGTAGTTCTGCTTTAGGTCGCGCTTCCCTTAATCCCTTAATCCCCTGTATTGGACTTTTATATTTTATTAAAGTTTGGCCCAAATGAAATGAGATGCACCCATAATAGTTTTATAAATTTTGCTGTCCTCATTTAGTTGATGCCCTGGGATGTGGCCCATCTCGCCCAGCCCTTGGGCCAGCTCTGGGTGTAGATATGGTCCTTTTGGTGTATTTTAGTTATGGTTTTGGTCCCTAAAAACTTGAAATATATATTTTACCCTCTTAATTCTCTTTCACATTATTCTTAACTTTTTTTATCAATTTTTATTAATAATAACAAAAGAAATCCCTCCACTCCCGCCCTCTTTGCCCCACGAAGCCACCATGTCTCTTCCTTCTCACGCCCTAAATTGTCGACATTCTCCCTTGACTCCGATAGTGCACACACCCAAAATCGTTGACCATTTTCCACAACTACTCTAACTAATATGAGGTTGCGCATTTAATTCGTTCTCCTTTCACCTCCATTTCAACAAAAACCCTCAGTTTAACCAAAATCTTTTTTGTTTATCACCTAACCACATCTTCGATGATGATTGATGAAGCAACAACTGATGAAGAAAACTTGGTGATTGGAGTTGGGGGCTTTGATATGGTAATTAAAACTATAAAGGGTAATATGGATCTAGCAGCAAAGGAACTTATGAAATTGTTAATGGAACTGCACAAACCTACATATTGTCATAGTTGCACAAGCTCAAACATCATCGGAGCTGCAAAAACTCGCACCGCTACCTTCCCCCGCCTCAAATTTGTCTCCACAAATCTTCTCTCTATATAATTAAATTACAAGTTTGGATTGACTTAGGGAACATACTTATAGCTGTTTTCAGAATGATTTGAAAAAAATAGTTTGGATGTTTCTGATGACACTTTTGTTAGGTTTTGGATTGTTGATGGATGTTGTGTTGTTTATTTATGTTAAAGTTATCTTAAACCACAAAGGACAAGAATATAATGGTAATTAGGGTTTAGAGTAGTCAACAGAGTCTTTAGGGTAAGTGGCAGTAGTGTGTAACATTCAAGTTTGGGTAAGTTCCTATTTTTATCCCTAATGTTAAATTGTTATAAATATGGTCCTTTGCTAGTATGCATAGCGTACTAGCCTTCTGATTGATCGCGAATCCCACCCACTTATACGGGGCGTACGTGGAGTATGCATGTCGTACGCAGGTCTGAGACAAACCCTAATTTTTTAGGGTTTGTGCCCTACTTATACATCTTAAACTCACCTCCTGGACATTTTAGACTAGCCTCCATCCCCCTTGTCCTAGAGAACGAAACCCTAAGTGTGTTAATGAGTTTTTGAGCTTGATAAAGATATTTTTGGTGTCTTAAGGTGAAAAAGAAGAAGAGAAACCCTTGGAGAAGTAAATTAAGCTTGTGGACCTAGGACCGGCTTCTCACTTGGAAGCTTTGTGAGGTAAAAAGCTCACACCATTATGTTCGTTAGATCTTCTATATGGTGTTTCTTGGGCATTTTGAGCCTTTTATGTTATAGGTGGACTTTCGATCTACTCCATAAGTAGTGGATGTTAGATCTTAGCTCCATTCAGTCCCCTTATCATAAAACTACAAACTTTATGGAGTATTTTGTAACGCCTGTGTTTCTGAGCTTGCCATTTTTAGCAATGTGATAGTCTAGGTTAACCTTTATAACCCGTTTTGAAATAATAGAAGTGTATTATTTGAGTATTATGTGTTTTGTGCTTAATTGCTTAATTATGTGGTTTGATTAATTAAGAATAAAAATAAGCATCAAAATTTAAGTGTATAATAAACTTGATATCTTTATATAATGTTGTAGTAGTTGAAACAAGGTTTCCGAAGATATAAAGAATGCCGAAATCCGAGTTATAACGAAGAAGTTATGACCTGTCGAACTTTCGCGACAGAACCGGCACCGCTGAATAACGTAAAAAGTGAAATTTACGTTAAAGCGATATTTAGCCTTAGTGATCTAAACGAGAATCGAAGATCTCGTTGTTAGTATCAAAGCTATAAAAAGTTAGGCAAGAACGGACGTCAAACGAAGAAGTTATGAATTTATAACGAAATTTTCTGTCCCGGCCTATTAAAATAAATAATAAAAATAAAACTCAAAATTAGCCGACGGAGTCTAAACAAAAGTTGTAGAGCGTAGTGTCACCTTTGCGTGGATATGAAGAACGTCAAAAACGAAGTTCGTATGAAGAAGATATGAATTTCCGAAGTTTATTAAATAATTAATAATTAAAATTAATTATTAAACCTCGGTATTATCCGGAGGCGAGTCACTGGACTCATCCGGAGTACGCCCCGCGTACAGCGAAGAGTGTCGACACTCGCACTCGAGGACTTCGGATGACGCATGCAGTGACGTTTCGGAGGCAGTACGCCCCGCGTACTTCTGTACGCCCCGCGTACTGCG